ATAAAAATGGCTGATTACTGCAATGAGGCACCCTGTCACTCTAATTTACACAAGTCATACACTCACACTCCCGCTGCTCAACCGCATTAACACCGGAGCAAATGTCTCTGGCAGTCAAACCCGGAAAGCTTAATTTAATCTACATGCACACTTCCACACAAATAAACCCACACTGTGGTATTTATTCCTACCAACAATATGCACATTTGGTATGTATTGTTCCTTTGAGCGTGTAATTATGCACTTCTAGATGCTGTTGTCTCAGCGCCATCACACCAGTGAGGAGGACTTTGGTGTAATTTATTATTTTGCAGAGGGATTTCAGGTGATATCTGATTGGCTGCATGGTAGTGTAGTGAAGAATTGAAAGTTCAGGTTTGGAGATGTCCTGCTCATCACAGAGCACATTAACACACCTGTCCCGAAAGGCTGCATAGCTAATGATGACAAGTGGATAAGATAAACAGCCACATGGATCACTGCACTGTTATCCGCAGAGGACTGTCAGAACAGCATCCCGGCCATTCAGAAGACCGATTGTCTACTGAATTGTATGAGGCTTTATGTGTACCGATGATGCATGTGGTGAATACCAGGTGTAGGCTTGTTGTAAGTGCAGTGTTTAGCGTGCAGTTACCCTCCATGCTAGATGTCTGCAGGTATCTGACTAACATGGATCGCTCCCACCTCACAGCTCATCAAATTGCCTTTTTGTTCACATTGTGAGTTATCTTGCTAGATCTTTATAGTCATGCTAGCAGGATGGAAACGTTGTACGGTTGTACCATTTTAGTCTGGACCAAAATGTCTGTTGGCTGCATTGTCAACACAATTTTGTACAGAAGAAGACAACTCGGTCCGCAGAAGAGAGCAATCCTAATGACTTCTGAGGTCAACATGAAGTTCACTTTTGTAGTTTTGAGTGAAATATCTCAACAAATATTGGATATATTATCATCAAATCTGGTACAGATGTTCAGGTCAATACAATGTTAGTCATCTCTTGAATTTTCATCTAGCTCCATCATCATGTCAAAATTTTAATTCGACCCAATACTTTGTTTCAGGACCAGTTTACATTATAACCGCTCAACATCAGTCTCTTCTCATAGCCACGGTGAGCTAAAGTAAGTGCTCGGCTCAAAGCATTAAACAGCTGGCCAATCACTGTGTGTAGTGGGTTTCGGGGGAGGGGAGAGGCTATTTGTCCATCCAGCGCACAGTCCTGATAAAGTATACTGGCGGCTGTAAGTACAACCTCACAGAGCTGCTTTCTGTCTAATCTGGTTGTCTTCTGAGATTTTTTTTGTTTTCCTGCCACTAATCTGTCGTTGTCTTTAGATTCCTGCCTCAGCTCCTTCACCTCCACATCCACCTGTCACCTCCTGCAGGCAGCAGTTCACTGATGTTTATCCTGCTGCCACTGGACAGCTCGCTCTAGCTTACCCTTCCCAGTCACCTGCTTAGTCCACTCTGCTACATTAATGGTCATGTTAAACATTAATTCAGCCTCAGTTGTTTGTCTCCTGAAATCTTGTCTGTCCTGTATTTGAAAAAAGTCCTTACATACTGTACCAACTCTGCCCAATTTGATGATGGTGATTGGGATGCTTAAAATCTTCATCTGCACCGCAACATAGCTACGTATCCCGCATTTGCCCACATCTGCTAAAGCCAATAAACCGAACCACATCTGTAGGTCAGCAAACAGTGGCAGCATTCAGGGTTAAAGTTCAATTGATCTGAACAGAGAGCAATATTTTAGGAGTATAAATTAATAATAAGACGCTGCATGTTTTATGATGCATCCTCTACAGTCTGACCAGGTGGGTCATGTCACTGGTTCGCGTGCTGCTGGTTGATCAGATATGAGATTGAAGCACAAAGAGATTCAACCATGACAGCTTGTTGGGAGGTTACTCAGTGCACGCAAACATCAGTGAGGGGTTCATTATGTCACACACACACCGAACACACACACACACACATACACACACACACACACACACACACACACACATACACACACACACAGACATAGGGGGGAGGTTAACGCTTGACAGATCCATTTGGTGAGGTATGATTTCTCACTTTATGTAACTGATTAGCATATTGGACTTTGCATCATCAGTGTTTCTTGTGGTAGTTACTCTTGTTAACCTGCTTTTTCTCACAGTGGATCAGCAGAGATGAGCCGGAGGCTGCATTTAAGCACAGACCACAGTTGTGCAGCTGCCTTTGATGCATCTGTGTTATTTAGCAGACAGTAATATTTAATTTAATTTGTTTCGCCTTCAAATTCTTTCTCAAACACACACACACACACACACGCATGCACGCACGCACGCACGCACGCACGCACGCACATGCACATGCACACGCATGCACACGCACGCACACACACACACACACACACACACACACCTCCACACACACACACATACACGCACACACACACGCACACCTACACACCTCCACACACACACACACACACACACACACACACACACACACACACACACACACAAAAGATGTAGTATCATATAAACAAAGTAAAAAAATAACCTGTGGCATTTTCTTTTGCCTCACTCTTCCCTCTCAAAAGTTTAAAATTAGTGATGACTCTTTGAGAAAAGTTGCTTCCTGTGCATTAACATCAGTGTCTGTAAGAAAAATGGAAGAGGAAGCTCTTCCTCAGAGGCTGCATTACAGCAAGACAAAACAACCTTGGTTTTTAGGGACACTGGAAACACGAGACTTTATTTTAAAGTGGATGCCAGAATGGATAACAGACTTTAATATTCTCACAGGGCATGAAAATTTATAACTTAAAAACTGGTATCGAAGCTTTGGTTGTACTTAATGTTACCTCATGGAAGGAGCAGAGAGAGTGAGAGATGTTGGAGCAATGACTTTCATTGATTTAAGCAGGACACATTGAAACAGCGGCCGACACTGGAGGTAATAATCATCCATAAGAAAAACCATTAGCCCACAGTTTCAACCTGAATTTGCTAACTTATCTGTCTATGTTTAAATGAGAACAGGCTATACTCTGACCTGCACTGGTTTATCACTTTGTTATATTTTAGTGTGACCAGTAATTTGTCATTATGTATCAACACGAGCAGGATTTGTGCACTTTATCGTATGAAAAACTGTAAAGACACTGCGTTGTCGCTGCATTTCAGGAAATTAAATCAAAGTGAACTGAAAAGCCTCTTAAACACCTGGCCAACATGCACACTTCCTCATTCCCCTCTCCCTTTCATATTAATTATCAAGCATAAGCCATTTTATCTAAATTTCACACAATGCGCATAATACAACATTAGCAGGATTGCATAATTATCTATAATCCACGACACAGGAAATGTATAATGACTGGCACGCAAAACCACAGCCTTCCTACTGAAACGTATTTGAAAATTCATTCTGTATGTGTGTATGTGCACATATGTGTGTGTGGGCACCTGCCTTTATGTGTGTGTGCATCACATGTCTGCACTATAAGTGCATGAATGTGCACGCTTGTATCCATATGACACTTGATCAGAGGTCCATTAACAACCTTGTCCCTCATCCATTATTGTCGTTCTCATATCATACAACTCTCCATTATTCATCCCATCACTTTACCTCCAACACTCTCAGCGGGGAGCGCTCAGAGCTCTGCAAACAAATCCTATAAATTCTCTAATTAATATTCATACAGTTACAGTTTAGGCTCAAAGTTCCTATAAATATCAGCCCCCACTCTCCCTCCCTCTCTGCCTCTCACACATACATATACAGTAGTATTACATATGCACTTATCCAACACACATATACACACACATACACACATAAACACAAACACACACACACACACACACACACACACACACACATACACATACACACAAACACACACACACACACGCACTTATTATCTGCCGTCTTTGACTCTCGCTCTGTTTTTGTTTTCTTTCATTTCTATCTGATCAGCAGCACACAGGTCTGCAGGGAGGAGATAAAGTGTCTTCCTCTTCTTCTTCTGTTTCCTCTTCTTCTTCTTCTTCTTCTCCTGCTTCCTCTCCATCTAAACCCCACCCCCACCCCCAACACAGCACCCATCCTTTACACCAGCTTGTGGGGACCAAACTGGAGAGGGAGATGCACCAAGGGAAGATGAAAAAAAGATAGGAGGAGTGTACGGCTCGTTCTGCAGAATGAACAAAGGCGTGTTGGTGATTTAGTGGCCATGCAACAGCCACTGCTGCTGCTGCTGCTGCTGCTGCTGCTGCTTGGATTTACGCCAAATATGGGTTCGATTGACCAAGGAGACTGAGTGTCCCTCTGACCTCCACAGGCCAGGAATATGGAGGGCTGTGAGAGGAAGATTGAGGGGGGAGATGAAAGTAAAAGCAAAGAATGGAGGGAGGGTGTAGTCTCATGTGTGGGTGACATCTGATAGGTAAAACTCAGCAGACAGTGAAGGAGTGATCTGGTCCTTACTAGAACATGACATGTGCATCACTGCACATTTGTGTTGTTTAGACTACCTCCTTCTGAAGTGCTGTGGCCCTTGGGATGGGATATTTAATTTATTCAGGCTTTATTTGATAATTCACAGTGGGGGTGGGGGTGCAGAGTTGGAAGAGACAGGGATGACACAGAGCTTACAAGATCCATCTAAACCAGCAGGGGGCCCCGCTCAAGGATAAATAGTTTGATGTCATTTTCTCCCCATGGGAGCAGCAGGATTGGATGATGTATAATGATCCTGCTATCAAACCGGCTGCCTGGACAGCAGTTAATGGTAACTCCTATGCAAAACCCCAGGAGAGTGCTCTTCCCCCTCCCCTTGTAATTGGTCCCCTGTTGTAGCTCCCTGCAGGCTCCGTGCACGGTGGAGGCGCCCCCGTGTGGCAGGAAGCAGAAGCGCGGACGCCGCGGGGGGTTTAAAAGCCCCGACTGAGCAGGAGCTGCCCACAGTACCAAGGAGCTCCAGGAAAAGTTTTACCTCCAACTATCACAGTCGACTTCAAGGAGGAACAGACAGCAGAGATGGCCACTCAAGCACAGAAGCCACCCCACCTGCACCTGGCTGAGCTCACCGCGGCGCAGTTCATCGACATCTGGAAACATTTTGACGCAGACGGTCAGTGTCCAGCGGTGATTCATAAATGAGTATTTATTAGAAGCTAAAAATGTAATTGTGAGGAACATGTCAGATTTTTATTCACTGTATTACAACTATTTTATTTCCAGTTAGAATTTAATTTGTCTCCTGTTTTTTTTTTAATTTTATATATATATATATATATATATATATATATATATATATATATATATATATAGTCCAATGAAGCGCTAAAATCACCACCATGACAATATTTTAGTAGCATATATCATTAACTGCTGTAAGAAAATTAATATATTCAATCCAGCTAATCTGAAACGAATACCAGCTGTTTTCAGCGTTTTCAGTTTTACATGACTTTAGTCCTTGATGTGTCAGTGCTAAAGAAAAAAACAAAAAACAAAAGAAAACAAAAGAAAATACGTATGAGATTTTAATGTTCTTTCGTCCGATGAAATTACATACTTTGACACTTACTACATTTACTGTGATTAAGTGTGAGAGTAAATGTGTGAGGATCTGCAGTGATTTTGAGACCATGATAAGAGAAATAAGTCTCAGTCAGAGTTAAGTTATAGAGGGAAGGCTGGAAAAGAATGAAAAAATATGAGAGCGAGGGGGAGGGAGAGAGAGGAAGATCAAAAAACGAGAGAGAGAGAGAAGGAGAGATGGGGGAGGGAGGGATAAAAGGATGCGAGGAAGAGAGAGGGGGGAGTGAAAAGGTAAGAACGGGTGTTTGATGGGAGGAGCTTCTGAATCTGAGAGCTTACTGGGATTGAACTGGAAGTGTGTGTGTGTGTGTGTGTGTGTGTGTGTGTGTGTGTGTGTGTGTGTGTGTGCGTGCGTGCGTGCGTGCGTGCGTGCGTGTGTGCGTGCGTGTGTGTACTGGTAGTAGCACACAACCACTGGTCGACGATTCTTTACAACAAGACCTCAGTGAACACATAAACCCAATTTTACTCCATTGAAAGTAAATTAAAAAAGTAACATATTATCAAAAGTATGAGTGTAAAAGTAATCATGCAGGTAGAACAGCAGTGACTGTTATACAGTAATGGCTTAATATTACTGATGCATTAATATATAAGCAGCTATTTAATGTTAGTTGGAGCTGAATTGATCTATTCTTAATTCTGTATTGGGGAGTCAAATCTGTAACAGTTAGAGCTGAAACGTCAGTTCACTGAGTTAACAATCAATTAGTGAATTAGTGAAATTGGTCAAAATTCTCTATTCCAGTTTCTCAAATATGATTATTTGTTGTTTTTCTTAGTCTTATTATATTGAAAAAGAATATCTTTGGGTTTTTAACTGTTGGTTGGACAAAACAAGCTGATTGAATATGTTGACTTGACCTCAATTAATTGATTAATTAAGAAAATAATCAACAGATTCATCAGATTAATAATGAAAATAACCATTAGTTGCCCTAACAACACATATTTTATTACCTGTGATTAAATCTGAGCTGTTAACTGATCATATGTTAAATCTTAATCTGCAAAGTAACTGCAGCTGTCAGGTCAGTGAGGTGAATTGCCTCCGAATCTGACTTGAGAGTGAAATCTTTAAAGTAAAGTGAAAGTACTTAAAAAATGTTAAGTACATGAGTATGTACTTAGTTATATTGCATCTCTGTATCCAGGTTAACAGTAGTTATACTGTGTGTGGCAGCCAAACTGTCGCTGTCCCACTCTGTTTCACTATGAGCCACTCCAGCTTTAGTGGTTTTCATGATCCAACTACAACTGAAGGATTATTTTCTGAAGCCATTCAGAAAAAAAAAAGCTCTGACCTCTGTTGTTAAACCCTTTTAAACCCTGTCTTTTAAACTGTCAATGTATTTTCATCAAACGGTACTGTAGAGTCCCACACAGCCTTCACAACGCAGCCCCACTGTAAACTGCTGTTTCTGGCCGATTGTGTCAATGTTGGTTTGTTTTAACCATGACCGCGATCTTTCCCTAAATTTAGCTGAGAGGTTTTTGTGTCTAAGCAGCCAAACCTTAACCACAACTGCAGTGGTGATAGATCAGAAGATGGTCATATTAATCCATTTTGTGACAGTTGTGACAGTTTTGGATCAGAAAACGTTCATATGAGTGATTGTGGAAGGCAGGGACAAGTGACCATTGTCGAAAACCTCAGATCTTAAAACAGGCCACATTTCAAAACTATACATCGATCGAACTATAGGTGGAGATAGAGTGTAAATGGCCAGCTGATCAACGGCTTATTCATCTTGAACTTTTCAGACCGAGACATCTGCAGTGAATATTTTTTTAAACCGTTATACTCACGCAGCTCCTCTGGAGAAGTGTAGGGGTTAAATGTCCTGCTCAAGGGCAGGGCACACTAGTGGTGATGAGGGTGAAGAAGCCATAGCCAATGACTCCCCCACCTAGATGAGTAGAATCATGAAGTGAAAGAAATGCTTTTTTTGGGCCCACCGGTGTGAATAAAATCTATAAAAAACCTTCCTCCTTAGTGTGACTAAATGTTTTAAAGGATTGCCTTCGTCTAATCTTCTTAATATCTACTACCATCATTAATACATAAAGCATTACACTCAGCAGTCATGACTGAATGGATCAAAACCTGATGCCGCAAATTAGAAGTACTAACAACTTAAGTTTGTAACTCCACAACAGACCTCGTGTTCTTTAGTTACTACTCAGCGTGAAAGAGCTGGAGAAAGTGAGCGTTGGTCGGCTTTAAGACCAGAAATTTGTACTGCTAAGATAAATCAGTAAAATGGAAAGTGATTGATCCATGGGAGTAGAGCCTTGTACGTCATCACAGAAAAAGACACACAAGTAAACATAGAATCTTCTCTCCACTCATTGTAAAACAGTCGAGTGTTGGGGGGGGGTTGTTGTTGCAACAGGTTGTTTTCTTGACCACAGCTGCAGAGCAACAGCAACACTACGGGACTGTGCCTCCAACTGGCTATTCCTAAAGATAGTTCCACGCTGGATGAAACACAAAGAGTGGCGCATGCTTTCCTCTTGATCATATAGCAATAAACTCCACTGAACTCATCCATCCATCAAGTGGTATTGCAGCGTGTAGCACCTCATGTGGGCTTTGATGAAACACTCGGCCACCCTTTCTGCAGTGATCTGTCTCATTTTCAGTCGTCATGAGTCAGGCAGATGGTTTGTTTTCGAGTTGCTGTTGAGCAATCGGCAGTTGAGCTGTGTTTGAAAATGTTTTAGGAGAGAGAGGGCTGCATCTGCTCAGTGTGCAGCGGTGCGCTCCATGTGGCAGCTGAGATTTGTGTTGCAGCTAAACTCCGGCAGTGCGTCCCAATGAACTGAGAACACGTATGCGGGCTTTATTACAAATGATGGGATTTGAACACACTCATGCTTCATCACAGGTTATTTGTTCTTTCCCCACCTGAGATACTCTGGTCTGTATTTAATCACCTGTTTCACTTTTATTGTGAAATAACTAACTTCACCAGAGAAACTGGACATTTGGAAGATGCAAAGGTTTACAATTTATTTAAGATGGCCACTGAGAGTCGATGACAGTTTATTTTGTGCCAGTAAAAGCAACATTTGTTGTTCAGTCATCTGTCCTGTAGCAACAGTACCTGCACTACAGGTACATGAATGAGAAGGCAATAGGCATCAGCTGCAGCTTCTCTCACTTTGGAAATATGATATCCTTGTATTCTCCTTTTCTTGCACTTTCCGCACTTGGTTAAACTAAACCCCACTCTGCCGACCCAGCTGGAAAGAGCCAGCCAAGCAAGGAGGAAGCAGCACTCAGTAAAATAATTACTGCTTTAGGTGATACTGAGTGAGTCAGTGCTCACAAAGTTCTGTTTATAACAAGCCTTTTGAGCTTGTTTTGTCTCCACACCCAGAACTTTGTGTAAAACACCAGCTCAACCAAAGCACAGATGGTGACATGGAGCACCTATCAAATACAATGTGGAAATGAAGCTAGGCAGGGAGATGGGAGGAAAGGGGGGGGGAGGTGGGGAGGTGATCAGAAAGGAAAGGAGATGAAAGGATAAGAGATTAAGAGATAGAGATGGGGGGGGGGGGACTGGGTGAATCTCTGCATTTTCTACTGTACATCAGTCTTTCATTCTAAATTGAAATAACAATTTTATTAACGTCTCTTTTTGTAAAGGCACAAACCCCCTATCCTCGCTCGGACTGCAGACAGATGGGACTCATTCCTGTGATTAAAAAGAGAATGCTGAATGTCCTATATGTTACCCTGTGACTTGCAGGCAAACCAGTGGAGAAAATTATTGTATTAAATTATTCCTGATCACGTGACTGTCAGAAGAAGTACAAATCCGGACACAGGACAGTATGCTCCAGTAAGCATCATTGTGACTGCCCAGTTTCACCCTCTCAGGCAAGAACACACTCATTATGGTGCTTACTCTCCAACTGCACTGGACTCTCGTGGTCTGTTTTTTTTTTTTTTTTCTGCTGCAGCACATCACTCAATCTCCAGAATCTCCGCCACAGCTAAATGCCAATTTGGCAAGAGATATAATGAATATAGGATATTCTGTATGCACAGGCTTGTAGTTGTGTGCCGTGCCTTCAGGTCATCAGAGTGAGTTTTCAATTAAAAGTTTTCAGAGGTGATATAACGTTTTAATCTTCTTCAGTCAGGACATGATTATTGACGACTCAGTACTGTGTTTTGCCTCGTACACCGACTTCAGGGCTAAACTAACCAAATGCTCTACGAAAGTCCTCAAGCAAGAACAGCTGTAAGCACATGTGCATTCTGGATACAGTCCAAGTGAGCTGCTCTGTTAACTCACAGAGGGCATGAGACTGGACGAGCACTCGAGGTTTAGCGACTGTTCCAAAATTGAAAGAACCCCCCCCCGTGACCTTTAATCTTCCATCCAAATCTCAAGTCTTTTAATCAAACTTTTGCACAGTCAACAAAGCTTCAGGCGACTTAAAAGCTTCATAACATAATTTGTGCCAAACTAATTTAGGCCCTCTGGTGCTCCGCAGGAAACGGTTACATCGAAGGGAAGGAGCTGGAGAACTTCTTCAAAGAGCTGGAGACTGTGAGACGAGGAGCAGGCGTGGTGAGTGCAGCACGTCACTGAAAACTTGTGGTCACATTCACCCAAAGTGACTCTTGTAGGTGACATGAATGAATATAATGTCACACTCTGTTTCACTCTCACTACAGATTGGTCAGTCCAACTTCATTCTGAAATTTCACAAAATAATACAAGGATGTATTAATCACAATTATCTAAATGACATTTATATACTAGAAATGTATGTTGTTTAATGACAGGAGCAAGTTTGCACTGACTGGATTGTGTTTTCTTTTTCTTCTTCTTCTTTCTCTTACTTTAACCAAGTGCTGTGTAAATGACAAAAAACAAATTAAGTATATTATCAGTGAGTGTTTTGCTAATAGGTTCAGTATAAACATTTTGTGACAGGCCACATGTGATAATCAATATTTCCTCATTATGTTGATAGGAAACATCATCCAGGTGGCATCACATTTCATACAAAACTGATTGTGCTGTTGTAAACTATAAGTCTATAAATGTAATCTTTAGGGCTGGCCTTGTTCGCATGTTTCAATATGTGTTTATACTGAATATATCTTTAAATTAAAGGCTACATTATCCTAAGTCTTTGATCTGTGATTTGATGTACTTGCAGGATCCTTCACATGCTGCGTTCAAAGAAAAGATGAAGGAGTTCATGGCTAATTTTGACAAGAATACTGATGGGAGAATCGAAATGTCCGAGGTGAGAACATATTAAAAACAGCTAATGTCAAGTAAAATGCCAAAAAAAAAAAAAAATCTAAAAATATAGCAACTGACGAACTAATAATAATTCCTCTGTCTCTTCATTTTCCACTCTAGCTGGCTCAGATTCTGCCAACAGAGGAAAACTTCCTGCTCTGTTTCAGAGAGTTTGTGGGATCAAGTGCTGAATTCATGGCAGTAAGTTTTTGTATATTGTCCTGTGTAGATATTTATTTTCTAACCTTATTAATGTCTGATGACATGCACTGAGTTCTCATTATATAACTATATATTAGATCTGCTCTGTCAATCTCTCAAACGCATCAAAACTGATTCAATTTAATGATTGTTAAGAGGTTTGGGTTTGAAACAGCCTTATTCTTTCTCTGTTTCTGAGTCAATGCCTCAAGTTATCAGACTTCATCCTGTGGGACATATGCTCAGTGGCCCTGTGATTCCTTTTGTTTTCCTGGACAAGTGAGGGCGCTTGTTTCAAGTGGAAACAGTCAAGTAAGGCTGTAAATTGTACATTTGAAGCCTGGATGCTGCATCTGGAACTCACACACTTACAAAATGTTAAATATTGTACTAAACATCACTGATGTAAATTCTCTTCAGGTGAACAACTACAATGAAAAACTTAAAATGACTGAAAATTTGAGAATATATTATCCATGAATTAGTCTTGTCAGTGGCCATCGATGGTTGTTGTTACTTTACAGTCACTATATGTAAAGCCGAACTGCATTTAAGCCTCAGTTGTCAGCATCTAAATATTACACACAGTGAAGGAGTTACCTTAAACTGAATCTTTCAATATTTAATACCTTGCCAACATCAAAACAACACCATGTTTGACCCGCACTTCTGGATCACTTGTGAAAACCATAAAGAGCAACCTCTCTTCTTCAGCTGCATATGTTGAGATGATTAGAGAGAAAATTGTGACGCATTGAACATCTGGGCCTTTGTGATAGAAAATAACCCACACATACAGTACACACACATGGTTGTACTCTGATTGAGGAGGGTTTTCAGTGGTGTGATGTTCGGGCTGCTCAGTGTGTTAAAGCTATTCTCAGACAGCCATACATTATGAATGGACCTCAGCTTTCTGCAGGGGAAAAGCAGTGAGTGCTGGAGGGGTTTAGGTATCCATCTTTGATGAGGGCTTGACAAATTCTATAATTACACAATGTCGGATGACACCACTGTCGTTTCTCTTTATTGTAGTCTTTTTTTCTGCTATAAATCAGAGAGGGTCTGCCATGTATTTCATATTTGTCATTGTGGTTGAAGTATTACACACGTTTTCTGAAAGCTACTGCAACAACATCACTCTTCTCCTGCAGGCCTGGCGGAGGTACGACACTGACCGCAGCGGATACATTGAATCAAATGAGCTGAAGGTAAAACACAATATGTCAAACTCTGCGATACAGCTAATTCATGTAGAATTATTTAAAGCACTGCTGCTCGTGGCGAAGTACAGTACTGTCTATGCAAAAGCCCGCACACTTACTGCTCTTCACTCTGACCCACGACACTTAGTTTTTGTCCTATGCAACATGGAAAAAGCCCAGTAATTTGTGTAAATGATTTAACTGATGGCTCATCTAGGTATTATCCATGTATGTCTGGTCTCCTTTTTATTATGTGTGGGCAAACAAAAGAGAGACCAGTAAATACAGTAAGTGGTTTATATGCTGTATGCACAGTATGTGTGACTGCCTGTGCAGCAATTATTATAAACAAACCTCGCTTGAGATAATGATTAGCCTCCGTGTTGTGGCAGTGGTATAATTGCTGCCATTTCCTCTGCTCAATCTGCACATGTATGCACCGCTCCCCATGGGAAGTTCTCACTGTTGTGTGAAAAACAAAACCACGTTATCACCTTTGAAAAGAAATACTCCAACTTCTTTTCACATCATGAGCTCTGTACAATGACACCAGCATTTCATTTTCACCAGGACTCCAGAGTAAAATCATCACATGATCCAATCACTGACCGTGGTCATTTTTCTCTCTCCTCAGGGCTTCCTGTCAGACCTGCTGAAGAAGGCTAACAGAAACTACGATGACAAGAAGCTCAATGAGTACACACAGACAATTGTGAGCATCATTAGGCACAGAAAATGCTTTTCCTTCACTCTGCTTTGGCAAACTCAAAATAATAACTGCAAGACTCAGGACTTTAAAGGCCAAGAGTTTCATCACCATGTAATAGCCCATCTAGCGTTTCTCTGTTTATCTATATAAACATTACAGTGATGACTACATTACTACTTACAGCCCATAAGCAGAGAAGAACCATGTACTTCTTATACCAAGAATCATTTTTGAAATATATTGCATTACATACTGTATACACCATGCTGTATTTATCTTCAGCTGCAGTGATGAAACATGCTGTCTCTGGCATCATTCAATGACACTTCAAAATTCTCCAAAGTTTTAAGAATGACCATGAAGTTTGTCCTCCTCTGTCAACAGCAATGCCTTCGTGCCCATATTTTTAGCAGTTGGCTGCAGCGTTTCTACACAACGTAACTGAAGTAGCTTCCCTGAAGGCTAGAATTTTAATGTCTTGTTTAATATCTTGAACAACTGAACACTGCTGAAACATCACTTTTCTAGCCACCAGCATCAGTCAGCCATCTGTGGCCTTAACACACTCAACTGCTGCCATTTAATCCCACTTGAGTGGTTATGTTTAAAATCTGATATGTGTGTGTATATACAGCACATAATAATATTTGGTTACAGTTTCCTTGTTAATTTTCTTTCTGTGCAGCTAAGGATGTTTGATCTTAATGGTGATGGTAAGCTGGGCCTCTCTGAGATGGCAAGGTCAGTGTTACTTACAGTTTATTTTGCTTGTTTAAAATTCACACAATTTTACACTTTTTTTTTTCAAAGGACAACATTAAACTTTGTGTTTTTTTTTACTGCAGGCTCTTGCCAGTGCAAGAAAACTTCCTGCTGAAGTTCCAGGTAAGATTATTATACTCATAAAAATAATAACCTTTTTCAAATTTAGTGTAATTGTCTAAGCAGCTAAAGATTCAAGTGTCATCCCTCTGATGTAGAGAAGTCAGACAACAGTGCAGATTCAGAATAGTACAATGCAACATTATTGGATTCACTCCAAGAGGATTATTCGTCATCAAAGTACTGAATGAACATATGGGGCATCGACACAAATGCGTGTTTACAGATGTTAAGTCCTTCGGGAATTAAATATTATAGAATGACAAAACATGATGGAATCCCATTTAAACCAACAGTGTTTGGAAACAGCTTTGATGGTCCATGAAATAATTTGGATAATTGCAGTCAAATTATTCTGATTAAAGACCTAAGACTTTAATTTGCATCTTAAAATAAAAATATCTTCCTCCACAGTTTCATGTATGTTCTTACTGAGGTAATACATAGTCACTATGTGCACTGTTTTGATTCTTTAAGGTCCACAATTTGTAGCACAGTGGCAATGGTAATCTATATAGATTTCCCACATGCATTTTGTCATGTACTGTATGTCCCCATATGTACACAGTGGCTTGGGAGAGCAGATCAACAATTCCTTTCTGACAGAGGATTAGTCTGTCTGATCAGGATTAACTCAACTCTAGTCCCAGTTATCATAATCTCCATGGATTAATATCAGTTCTGGATCTGGTGGGGCTTTTACCGCTGTCTAGAAATATCCATTCGTTTCTAATAATTTTCACCGCTCTCTCTCTCTCTCTCTCTCTCTCTCTCACAGGGCATCAGGCTCACAGTCAAAGAATTTGACTCCCTCTTCACCTTCTATGATAAGGTCAAAAGAGCATGTTTGTTTGTCTGTTTGTGCTATGATACATCTGTGATATGTGTTATGCATTGTGTGTATGAGTGTTGCTGTATGGTACGGTACCTAAACAAGGGTCTACATGCTAGTGGCTCTGTGAGGCTGAGGCTAAATGTTCAAATCAACATGCTGACATGCTTACAATTGTCTTTAAATATCTGCTGTAAATGTCGTGCTGGAGGGAAGCTCACTAACTCAGGATACATCCTCTGGGTACCATGAATGTCTATACATAATTTCTTGGCAATTTATCAAATAGTTGACGAGATCAGACGGACGGACGGACGGACGGACGGACGGACGGACGGACGGACGGTCAGACAGACAGACAGACAGACAGACAGACAGATTTTTACACTTGATTGGCATAAGCCTGAATACACACTGCAACTCATTTGTGCGCTTTTGGCTTGAAATTGATATATTTCCAATGAATGCCACTTTTCCTTTATGTTTGTATTTAAGTATTCGACAAATGCTTGGTTTTTACTCTATCGATGGTAATATTGGTTTGTTAGTTGGTCCACCCCTCTGGCCCAGACTGAAATATCTCGACAACTATCACATGGATTTGTGTGAAATTGTGTGCAGAGATTCATGGTCCCTAGAGGATGAATCTCAGTGACTTTGCTGACTCCTTGACTATCCATCTAGTGCCACTATGAAATTTAGAACAGATATTCATGTTCCTCTCAGGATGAACTGTAATAACTTTAGGGATTATCTGACTTTCATCATCAGCCTCAGCTGTAGATGGTATTTAGCGCTAAACTAAGATCATATTACACCTGCTTAATATCAGCATAGTGGCATTGTGATCATGTTTTACAAGTTAGCATGCAGATATTAGCATGTAGCTCAAAGCACCACTGTGCCTACATACAGCATCACCGAGCTGCTAGCATGGCTGTAGACTTCATCTTGTTGTTACATTAAATACTTTTAGGAAAATCTGATCAGACCTCCCTCGTTGTCTCTTTCACCAGGATGGTAATGGATATATTGATGAGCAGGAGCTGGATGCGTTGCTGAAGGACCTCTGCGACAAGAACAAAATGGTAATGAATAGTTAGCCTATTGATTGATCAGCTCAGGTTACTTTTCCTCTTGCCAAATATAGAGCTGAGATGAAATAGCTGCCTACAGTACATGGCCTCTGCATTGTGTACCATCTGTGGACGACTTTGTGCCCACTGACGGTGACTTTTTCTATGTAAAACCCTTTGCATGTTGCATGCAGGACGTGGACTCAACAGGATTGGTGGGGTACAAAAAGAGCATCATGGCTCTGTCTGATGGAGGAAAACTGTACCGCACCGAGCTGGAGATCGTCCTCTGCCGTGACTCCTCGCTGTGACCTCCCTGCCTGGGACTCTGCCGTCCTCCCCCACTGTCTCCTTCTTCCTACCTCCTGATGTAACCTGGTGCATGTGTGACCCTGAACCTCGCTACACACCGCTTAAGAGTGAAAACAAAAGTGTACTACTGGCCCTGCTCTCTTAGCTTTATACCTTTTTTTTTTAACTTAACATGCAGTTCCATAGTGAAATAGCCATTGCAAGGACTTTAGGAATATATTGTGTATTTATTTATTTGGTCTCCTGTTTTTAATATGCATTTAATATGTATTTTTACATTCATATCATATCTATATGTTCTTCTCCCACTGAATTTAAAATGGATATTTGTTCTGTAGCATCTGTTCATTTATTTTATTTATTTCTACTTAATTTAATATGATATTAGATTATGTTATGAGGCTTTAACTGTTCTGTCAAAGATATTACTGAGAGATGAATAAATATAACATGACAAGTTTTGTCCCATTTATTCACTGGCATGAAAAAATTATATCTTCATCTAAATGATCCTCTGTTACGGCTCAGTTATCATTTCACTGCACCTACAATGAAAGGTTTGTTTGGTATTTTCTGTCAGTGGCAGGTAAAGGAAAACTTACTCGGATCGGTTCCAGTGAAGATTACAGCTCTAGTACAAATGCCCAGAGCAAGAATGTTTTCTCCAAAGTGCTCCACCTTCACTTTCTAATCTCCTGGTAAAAAGAAAATGTGAAGTAGAAAAAGCTTGTGCTGCTCCATTTTTCATAGAGGAGAGTCTCTGAGGCCTCTGTGGCACTTTGAGATGAAGTGAGCAGAGTAGGACAAGCTGAGAGACCAGGGACAACAAAAGTACAGCAGAATGATTGTCTCACTCCCACATGTATACAAATCTGCCATAACACAGCATGAGAAAATACAGCATGGCAACCAAAGATTTGCAGTTAAATAATTGAAACATACCTGTTTCTCATCCAAATGTGTCTGGACTTCAACACTGAAACATACTCTACAATATAGTACTGATTATATTTGCCTCTATAATATGTGAGTGACAATATATGTTTATCATAGATTATATATGGATTATTTACAAGATGATGAACTAGTTTACTTTTCTGTTTCTTTCTATAGGACACACCCCCATATTTCAGCCTTATGGACCAACCTACCTCCCATCAATTAATCATCAGCTCTTTCATCTTTAATTGAACTCAACATCTTTAAAGCCCGTACCTTCACACACGCCATCACTGCAACTACACAGACACTCACTCATGCTCAAAAACAATACAGTGCTCAGTCCCTCACACTGAATGTTCAGTGCCATACACATAAGGGTACACACACATACCCACAAACACAGAAATACACAAGGGCACACAGTGAAACAGTGCACTGTAGTCCAAGCTGTTAACTGCTGACAACAAGGAAAAAGAGTGTTATATCCGCTCTGATTCCTTCACACACATCAGTCCCATTCAGTGATAAGAATAAGACATAAATCGAAACAAACAGATGAGATTCCCTCTGTTATTTACCCTATGTACAGCTGCAGACACACACACACACACACACACACACACACACACACACACGCACACACAGGCTAGTGGACACAGCTCACTAACATTCCCTACTATGACACATGAGTTAGGCTTTTAAAGTCACAATATTCATCCTCAGATCACTCTCATTGTAAAAAATATGATTTATTGGGGCATTCACTATTGCTTAAACTTTGCCCTAGAGAGGAGAAGGAGTCTTGCAGAGACGGAGGAGAAGAGGTCGTGGAGTGAGGTGAGGTGTCTGTGTGGTGAGAGTGAGCATTAATAGTATTTTTACATTCATATCATATCTATATGTTCTTCTCCCACGATGAATTTAAAAGTGATATTTGTTCTGTAGCATCTGTTTATTTATTTTATTTATTTCTACTTAATTTAATATGATATTAGATTATGTTATGAGGCTTTAACTGTTCTGTCAAAGATATTACTGAGAGATGAATAAATATAACATGACAAGTTTTGTCCCATTTATTCACTGGCATGAAAAAAATTATATCTTCATCTAAATGATCCTCTGTTACGGCTCAGTTATCATTTCACTGCACCTACAATGAAAGGTTGTTTGGTATTTTCTGTCAGTGGCCAGGTAAAGGAAAACTTACTCGGATCGTTCCAGTGAAGATTACAGCTCTAGTACAAATGCCCAGAGCAAGAATGTTTTCTCCAAAGTGCTCCACCTTCACTTTCTAATCTCCTGGTAAAAAGAAAATGTGAAGTAGAAAAAAGCTTGTTGCCTTCCATTTTTCATAGAGGAGAGTCTCCTGAGGCCCTCTGTGGCACTTTGAGATGAAGTGAGCAGAGATAGGACAAGCTGAGAGACCAGGGACAACAAAAAGTTACAGCAGAATGATTGTCTCACTCCCACAGTGTATACAAATCTGCCATAACACAGCATGAGAAAATACAGCATGGCAACCAAAGATTTGCAGTTAAATAATTGAAACATACCTGTTTCTCATCCAAATGTGTCTGGACTTCAACACTGAAACTATACTCTACTGAATATAGTATCTGATTATATTGTTGAGTGACAATATATGGTTTATCATAGATTATATATGGATTATTTACAAGATGATGAACTACTTTACTTTTTCTGTTTCTTTCTATAGCACTACACAACCCCCCATATTTCAGCCTTATGGACCAACCTACCTCCCATCAATTAAAGTCATCAGCCTTTCATCTTTAATTGAACTCAACATTCTTTAAAGCCCGTACCTTCACACACGCCATCACTGCAACTACACAGACACTCACTCATGCTCAAAAACAATACAGTGCTCAGTCCCTCACACTGAATGTTCAGTGCCATACACATAAGGGGTACACACACATACCCACAAACAGCGAAATACACAAGGGCACACAGTGAAAACAGTGCACTGTAGTCCAAGCTGTTAACTGCTGACAACAAGGAAAAAAGAGTGTATATCCGCTCTGATTCTTACACACATCATCCCATTCAGTGATAAGAATAAGACATAAATCGAACACAAACAGATGAGATTCCCTCTGTATATTTACCCTATGTACCTGCAGACACACACACACACACACACACACACAACACACCTAGATCCAGGGGGCCACAACACACGACAACAGCACCAGATATCTATATAT